AACACGGGGGAAGTATCAATGAGGTGGCGCGAGAGGAGGAGGAGGAGGAGGAGGAGGAGGAGGAGGAGGAGGAGGAGGAGGAGGAGGAGGAGGAGGAGGAGGAGGAGGAGGAGGAGGCGGAGGAGGAGGAGGAGGAGGAGGAGGAGGAGAAGGAGGAGGAGGAGGAGAAGTAGGAAGAGGAATATAATGAGGAAGAGAGGGCAGTGCAGAGGGCGAGAGGAGAGGGTGTCCGCCAGGGGGAGGAGGAAAGGGCAAAGGGTAAGCTAAACAGATTCTCGTGCGGGGTCCTACCGTCGGAATATTTTTTTCAAGTCAAGTGCCCCTCCCAGCGCTCGCACATTGTTTTCTTATCAGGGACAGTCATCCTCCTCAAACTGTGCCCTGGGCCCCCGGTTTACAACAACAGCGGTTCCCGCATTATATTTCCTCGAATTTTTCTCCGGTCCCCCGCTGTGGCTTGAGACTTCCCCGCAATTGTTTCAAGAATCGCACTCCCGCCTGGCGTCCTCGCAATTTCGACCTGCGCCGCGCTCTTATTATTCAGGAATCGCGCGTTCGCTCGGGACCTCTTCAAATTTTCTTAGGTGTCGCCCTCTCGCTGGAAGCTTTCTGGCTAATCACGCAGAACTCACGAAGAAATACATACCCACCAAAAACTTATGATTGAAGACGAAGAGGGCGGGTATAGAGGGTTCAGGAAATGCACACTGAATGATTCTCGAGCAGATAAGAGCGATCAGTCTTAAGATGATTGTTGTTGCTGTTGTTTCTGTTGTTGTTGCCGTTGTCGTTGTTGTTGTTGTTGTCGTTGTTGTTGTTGTTTTCGTTGTTCTTGTTATTGTTGTTGTTGTTGTTGTTGTTGTTGCTGTTGTTGTTGTTGCTGTGATTGTGGTGATAGTAGTAGTAGTCGTGGTAGTCGTAATAGTAGTAGTAGTAGTAGTAGTAGTAGTAGTCGTCGTAGTAGTAATAGTAGTAGTAGTAGTAGTAGTAGTAGTAGTAGTAGTAGTAGTAGTAGTAGTACTAGTAGTAGTAGTAGTAGTAGTAGTAGTAGTAGTAGTAGTAGTGGAATAGTAGTCGTAGTAGTAGTAGTA